TTTTTTTTCCATAAATTAATTTCAAAACCTAATACCATTCTCAGCTATACATATAATACAAAGAAACGCACTAGTACTTTAATCAAAATAAAATAAAAATCATTTGTAAAATTTTCAATCCGATAAGTTCCATGATTTACATTTTAATATAAAAAATGGTTTATAATTACGAGAAAGTTAATTAAGATAATTAAATAAGTTAAATTATATTTACGTAAAAGTTGATTAACTCTAAAGTGCCATGCATTAACTGACCAAAATTCCCTCCCGTACAAACTATTTGCGAATCCACAAAATTGGCTAGTGAGGAAAGGAAAATGAGAAAACATGTTTTGTAAAACTGCCTTGAATACAACAAATCAAACCATATCATTTCCTATGTTTCATCAATTACTTATCTTCCTCTTGGACTTCTTTGCATGGGATGGTAAATCCATTTTTGATAGGTTTGCGGGTGCGTTTTGCTTCTTTCTATGCTGTTTAGAAGGCGTGGGTTTTGTATTGTCAACATTACCTTTGGAAGAGGAGTCACTTGCTGAAGATTTCGTCTTCGACTTCTTCTTGGACAAGTTTGCAGGACGTTTCTGCTTATTACTCTGAGGTTTACTAGGCAGTGGTTTAGGGCTCTCATCTTCATCAGAAGAAGAGTCATCCAATGATTCATCTTCGTCAGAACTGAGTATGAGGTCCTCCACAACATCTTCATCTGAAGCTAGCTCTTCTTGGTGCTCTGCCTTTCTCTTCTTCTTTTTCTTCTTCTCCTTCTTGGAAGGTTTAGCCCTGTAAACCAAGGTTGAATGGGTCAGGGTCAGATTGATAACTTAGATTGCCAGGGTGTAAATAAAGGCATCAGACTGTTAAAATTGATTGACGTCAATCACGGTAGATGATGATTTTGTTGAGAATTTCAGTAACTGTAGATGATCTTCAAAATAACAAATATGGAACACTAACTCAAAATTGAGGGAGAGGCATGGGATCACTTACTCGGGTGTACCTCCTGGTAACCAGGAGGAACTAAAGACAACAGCTCCTTTCTCATTAACAGCATCATCATCATCATCTCCGTCACTTTCTGGCATCTTGTTTCGGAAGACAGATGAATGCTCACCCACAAGAACACTGAAAATTTTGGCACATAAGGTGCACAAATCAGCTGTCTAAAACAATTGAAGATTTGTTTAAAGCATGAGAACACTAATTGGTAACCTGGATTCTGTCAATGAATCAATTCTTTGTCGTGCTATTTCACGCATGGTTGCAACATACTGTGACAAAGGACTGGCCCCTGACTTCTTTTCATCCTGTAACGAATTAATTTAAGCACATCAGAAATCCTGATTTAACAATATGGAGACAGCAATTTAAAAAAAAGGCCAAAACAAATCCTTGATGAACAAAGCATGGCTCTGTGTACAGAAGCAACGGGTATTTGTTTATGGAAAAACTTCAACACAGAGAAAAGGAAGCAAAAATGATATGAAATAGCAATACCTCAAGAAAGGATGCTGCAGCAGGATCGTTTGGCAGAAAAGTGACTGACATGCGCTTTTCATTTGTAAACTTGGAATTAGCCTCAATCTGGGACATGGATGAGCTAAAAAATCAGTACTGCTCAAGACCTTTTTGTTACATGTGATGTATTTATTTGTACACATAACAGTCATAAAAATGAATAATACAACAATCTTCCAACCCTAATACAGACAAATCTATCTAAAGAAGAGCACATATGAATTATGCATAATACATACCGAACGAATAAGCTCCCTCATTTGTTTCCGGAACCTTTCAACTTTGGTAGTCTTGCAAAAGCTCCTCAATCGTGCAGCTGGAATGAAAGACAACTCAAAGAAAGCAACAGAATAGCTCCATTGAGCTAGATGTTCAGCAAGTTCCTCTACCACAGAAAACACACATGCCTCCTGAAATGCTCGTGTCTTCAGGCTAGACTTGTTCGCCTAACAGAAAAATTCACAAAAGTCAATATATTGAAAAGGCATACTTTAGGGGATTTTTGCCCAACATGAGAGCAAAAACAATGTAAATTAACATTAAAAAAGAAAATGTCAAACATACCTTTAGTTCAGCACGCAAATCAATAGCTTTGCCAACACCCCCAGTGGGTGGCCTATCCAGTTCTTTCATCTCCAACATGTCTAAAAGCAGCATGGAAACTGGTATAAAAGTACCAGTAGAAGCAGCAATCCGATTAAGCATTCTAACACACCTCAATCTAAGGGGAATGTATCGAGCAGTAGGAACTAGACGGGCAACCCCTGAAATTATTTGGGTGAGTGGATAAGCAAGAGGCCTGAGATCAGCTTCTGAGCTATAGGTACAGATAGCTCCAGTCCAAAGTTCAAGGCAATTCATGAACTTCCATTCATAAACCTTGCGAAATGAATCCTATAGAAACAGTGAAAGGCAAGGAGAACAATAAGTAAGCGAAATTTTAGCATCACTTCCAAGATAATTGAGAACTGCATAAATAATAATTTAAATCAACAAGAAGAAAAGAAGAAAGACTAGCATATTTCAGATTGCTTGATAGTACAGATGCTTAGAATACAGGAAGATTGAATTCACACTTCAACACAACAGCCAAGCCTCAACCCCAAACTAGTTGGGGCCAGCTATATTGATCCTTTGATGCCATTCAGCTAGATGAATTCACACATCAATATTAAGAGAAAATCTACTACCACATCAAATTGAATATGCTGTAACTTTA